ATTTAAATATTATATTATATATAAAAAAAAAAGAGAACAGAAATTTCTATAAATCGCGATGTTAATCGATTAATAGATATTAATATTCTATTTAAACATCGATCGGCGCCAATTCCATTGGCCTTCTTATAAAAACGATAAACAAAAATAAATTATTTAAAAAAATTTCTTTCTCAATCTATTTGTACAATTATATTTCTAAGTAATCGTTCTTTTATGCGCGCGCGCGATAATAAAGTTCCAGTTTTTTGTTAAACATAGAACATTATTATCTATCACCTGAAAATATTAATAAAAATAATCACGACAAATTGATAAACAAATAAATAGACGTGAAATAAAATCATGTCAATGATTATTTTCATTACATTTCACATAACAGATAACATTTAATACTCTTGTTAATCTTATTAAGTGGAGTAGTTGCATAAACAAAGTTCTAATTGTAAAACTATTTCATTAGATTCTTTAGTCTAACAAAGTAATTTTACCTTGACGTTCAAGAATTTTATTAAATAAACTTTTGTTAAGATCTTTTACTCGTGTAATTACTTTCATAATGAACGTCTTTTATTTTTTATGCTATTACAAAATTTCTATTAAAGTAAACGTTCCTAAAAACTGATACGTGTGTGTATATATGTGATATTAAAATATTTATATTAAATTTATCGCCTTTTTAAAAGTGACAAAAAAAATGTATACATAAATAATAGTATATAAAAAAGAAAATTAATAGATCATTATATATATAATAAAATAAAAAACAATATAATGACGTACAATTAATTGTTAAATAAAATGAAAACTAAAAGATGACTGACATAGGAATTAAAACGATTCATAGATTATAAAATAGAAAATCGTACGAATCTTTCGATAATGGCAATGAAAATTCTCTTAAGTCAACATACAAATCATTTATGATAAATATTAAATAGTGACGTATTGCTATAACTATTTGTTCATCTTTCGTCAATTCTTTTATCTATCTTTGATTTAAAAAAAAGGGGTAAATACTTGTGCTTATGTTAGTTAAAAAGTAAAATAAAAAGAATCGGGATAGAAAAAATAGATGGTAAAAAAAAAAAAAGAAAAAGTAGAAAAGTATAATATAAAAGTGAAAACTGTCTCTCTCTCTCTCTCTCTCTCTCTCTTTTTTCTCTATTTTTCTCTCTCTTTCTGTTCCTCTTTTCATGGAAGTAAGCCAAGCAGCCACGTTATCACTGCTTTAAAAGCCAATAACGAGCGTGCTAGAAGATTTACTCAACGATTAGAACATTGAATGAACATCGATCTAATTGCAAATAGTAAATAGATATATTATATATCTATTTATCGAGAGACCTATACGAGAACTTCGATATCGTGATTTAAACGGTTATCTAGATATATTATATGTAATATTGAGGTATTAAAAGGATTAATGTAATCATTTAAAAAAATCTGATATTATAAGAGAGAGTATAAAAATAATTTATAACATACTAAACCTACCATGATCGGTCAAAAAATATGATTGGTTTTCTTTTTTATAGAAAATTTTAATTAACAACGTTCACGGACGTGAATTCTATAGCATTGATTTTCATTGCGATATACAATATCACATGATATCAGAATTTAAAAGCCAATTATTTTGAATTTTATTTGATATAACAATTTTATATTATATATTAATTATATTATATATTTTTATATAAATTTTTGTAATTATTATAACTGTAAAGATAATGACCAATTGATTGTTTAATATAAGATAATCTGATTGACCCTAATGAAAATGTGTTTAATCAAATTTTTATACATCACAATTAATTTCAAAATAAAATGACTGTGTAATTTTATTTTCTTCTCGCTGAAATTTGTATTGTCCGCAAACGTGTTAAGGATAAAACATATCATTGGTATTTAATATTGAACAATTAAATTAATAATAATATTTTGAATAAAGAGTTAAAAGAGAAAATATATAATATATGAAATCATTCGTAAACGTGGATTACAAATATAAAGGTTATATTTATTGTTTTCGAAAGGAATCTCGATGATGCATATTCTTGTAAAACAGAGGTACAAAGAAAACCTTATTTTCTATGTCAATGATACAACTTATGTATTAAATATATACCTATACGTATGATTAAAGGGGGAAAAAAAAAAACTAAAAAAAGGGAATAGAAAATATTAGGATCAAAATGTTCAAAACAAATAAGATCGATTGAAGTGATGTAGAAAAAAAATAAGGAAAAGGAGGTGGAGGTTGGGGTTGGTTGATGGGGGAGTGAGTGGTAGTGATGGATATAAACTAACGTAACATACACAAACAAATCTAATAGTAGGAAAAATGTACGAGTCTAAATTTAGGCGAGTCATGGAATGATCTACGAAGGATAACAAGATCTTATCAAATAAACATACAATTCGAATGATCTACGTGAGTTTCGCAATACGCTCGCTAAAACACGCAAGAATGAATAAAAGAAAATAGAAAAAAAAAAAATAGAAAACCAATATCAGAAAACATTATTTAATTTATCCTAAAAAAAAAAAAAAAAAAAAAAAAGAAATGCGATTAATTTCTTTCAAAAATTGTCTTTACAATTCACACGCACACACACACTTTTGTTTTTATTACTTTGATAACAAATATCTGAAATATAATTTAAACTAAATCAGTTTAAATTATAATTATCTATATATATATATAGAAATTATTGCAATCGTTCTAAATGTTATAAATTTATTAATTATTATTAAGTAAATTCTTCAATGTGTCGTTTGAACGATTGCAATAATTCGTAGATAAAAATTGTTCATACGTGTTTAATTAATTGTTTTTCACGAATTAGAATTACAATTGGATTATTCATTGTATCTCGAAGCTCGGTACATTGTTTTAATCCGAAATTTTTGCTAATCGGTAAAAAATCTTAAATTCTAAATTATTCTTATCAAAATAACATCTTAGATTCTAATAAGGCCAATAATTTTTTAGTATTCGGGAATAATTCGCCGAATTATCACTATAAATCTATCTCTCTCTCTCTCTCTCTCTTCTTTTTTTTTTTCTTTTGCATAAACATTTATATGTCATTAAATTCTCATCCTTTCCCATTGATCAAACTTAATTTCAATTAATCGATGCCAACCAATTCAATTATTTTCGTGACCGTAATGAAAAATAATGGGTGGGGTGGAGTGGGGGAGAGGTGGAGAGGAGAAATTAAAATAAAAAAAAAAATAAAAAAATTAAAATAAAATGTACGCCCTTTCCTTTGTAAAAAAAGAAACTTTCTCCATGGTTTTTTTTTTTTACATTATAACTTACGCTTTAGCTTACTACAATAATTAAAAAAACATACAAAAAAAAATATATATATATATTTATATTGAACCTAGTGAATAAAATAGTAAGAAAAAAAAAAGATATTAAGGTAAAGCTCTTCTTCCTCGTAACTTTTTGGTTTCCATACTGTATATATGTGTATTTCTGTGTATGTGTGTTGGTTGGGTGTGTTTTTTGTATATATATATATATGTCTCTATGTGAGTAAGTCAATAAGGCATCGCGTTAAATAAACTAAATTCGTCTTTTGAAATGAATTATCGCAATTAATTGTTTAATTATCAGCACCCATATATATATATTTATATTTATGGGGGTTGTAATCTTGCAACAAAAGTATTTCGTTAACCAAAGGGTTATTAATTAACATAAGCTCGATCAGGTCAGTCTCTTTGTAATGTTTTGTTATGAACGCGTTTGTTTTACGAAAACAAAAAGCAAAAAAATAATAATAATTAAAAATCATGTTTCATCATTCATCAATCACTCCTTTAGTTCATCGTTTTACAAATAATATAACGATGTTGTGATTAATGAAAGAATGGAAAACCAACCCCAATCGAAAGAAAAAAAAAAAAAAAAAAAGGGAAAAAAAAAAAAAAAAAAAAAAAGGGTATTACGTATCATTTTAAATCGTAATTATATTATCATGATCGTATATGATCGGTTGTGCGAAGAAATACTTTTCGTGTTCGATATAATTGAAAAATAAAGATGAGAGAATGTTAATCATCCAATTTTGATATTTCGTTCGGAATGTAAAAAAAAAAAAAAAATTTGGAACGACCTACGACGTTCGATCATCGATCATTGATTTTTTTTTTTATTTCTTCTTGTTCTTTTTAGTACCCATAATACGTATACCATAAGTTTCGGAGACTTTGTGAAAAAGAAGAGAAGAGAAGAAAAAAATGTGATTCAAACGGAATATTGTATGAATCGTTGCGATAGAAAATTGTATTTTTCTAAATTAATCTATTTTTTCTTTTCTTTTCTTTTCTTCTTCTTCTTCTTCTTCTTTCTCTTACATGGGTGCACGCGCGTTTTATTATTCAATGACGATAAACTAAAAGATTTGCTAAAAAAAAAACGAAAAGGAAAAAAAATTAATTCAACAATTTACTCGCGTGAATGATTTAAAATTTGTAACGAATGATTGAATTAATCAATGTTTATCATTTTATAAGGAATATAATTCGTTATAATCACATCAGTTAATCGTCAAAATTGCACAACATTACAATTACACAGAAAAATGTGTATTTGTAATATGTGTGTGTGTGTTTATTAAATGATCGATACGACCACACCTCCCCCCTCCTGGTCTATATTTTAATTCGAATGATTAAAATTAAATTTTAAGTAGGGCGTTGTAAATGAAGATTTTTTTCCCAGTGTCAGTAGTACCGACGAGTTTGTATCTCTTGCTGTTTAATTTGTCAATGAGATTTTCCGTTTCCGTCGTACTGTAATGCGTATTCCAACGTATAGAAAGAATTAATATTCTTATGGTTTCCCATGGTATTGTATCTAGAACCTGTACGTGATAAAAACAATGTCAAATAAAAATCACACATGAAGAAATAAAAGTCAAAGTAAATGTAAATGTCAATGAAATGAGAAATATTATGTCATTGTTTTAAAAAGATCTAATTAACAATGAGAATTTATTGTTATCAAGTTGATAGAAAACCGAATTTTTGTTTTAATCGAACTGGTATTAACCAATAAAACAAATTAGTATAAAAGAACGCACATCAAACTTTTCAAGGTTTGTTTGTTGTGCATACAGTTCTGAGGATGACAAAATTTAGTAAAAATCGGTATCCTGTCAACTTAGTTCCCCTCTTGTTGTTAATTTAAAGTTTACCTGGCCATCTTGAATATCTGGACTGTCGAGACTCAAGTAATCTAAAGTTGTAACATTGTAGGCCAAGAGTATACTATACAGAGGGAAACATTTTAACCTGGTCGTTGGCAAACTTTCGTCAGACGATACCAGACTGTTCGGACCTTCCCCTAATTTTGTAACTTGAACCTCGGATTCTTGATGATACGTTATCTAAAATATATTTTAAACAAATTATATATATATATAAAACAATTCAATCGATTCATTATTTTATACATTGAAAATACATAAATTGTGTATTCGTTATTCAAAATTGATTTGAAATTAAAACTAAAACATCAATTTTTTGAATGAAACAATACACACAATACGCGAATATATAATAATCATTTTTATTATACGTTATAATTAAATAAATAAAACAAAATATCTTACTTCTTTGATGACTTTGTCGTTACTTAAACAAGAATGAATAACTCGAGTTTTCGTATTACGACTACTTTTCTGTGCCTCGAAAAAACTTCTAGGATCCGTAAGAATCAAGACGCCATTCCAATTCAATTTCGAATCGAGCCAAGCTGTACCGGACATTGCTCCTATCTAAAAAGAAACAAAAAAAAAATAAGAAAATCCAATTTTTCATTAAAATTTATTTGTCAATTGAAAAGAAAATTCATATAATATATTTAACCATGTTAAATTAATTATTAAACATAGTATTGTTTGTTCTCCAATATAATGCTAGTGTTAAATCTCATTTTGATATAACGCAAAGTATAATAATTGTTTGAGTTTGACTAATAAGAAGAAGAAGAAGAAGATGAAGAAAGTTTGTAATGTTAAATCATTATTTGAACGCAACTAATTCTCACCCTACTAATATATTCTACGTAGACACCCTCGCGTTTGTTTTGCATCGAACTAGCTACGTATTTCTCTTCGGATGTTTGAGTAGCATTTAGGAGTTCTTGATGAGTAGTTGGTTTGAAATGAACTTCGCGTATGTAAGCGATCAGTTGCGGGTTATCCATGGAAACGCTATAAAGCACGTAATCCCTGGTCATGTTGGCATCGAAAGCTTGTCTCCTGTAACATCGAACGATCCAATTATAAAAATCCAATACAATTTAATCTCTCGTTTAGCAGGAACAAAATAATAATACCCCAAAAAAAAAGAAAAAAAAAATCAAACAACTGTTTAACAGCAAATTAATTCATTTGTGTCATCGAACGATCCAATTACAAAAATCCAATAAAATTTAATCTCTCGTTTAGCAGAAACAAAATAATAATACCCCAAAAAAAAAGAAAAAAAAAATCAAACAACTGTTTAACAGCAAATTAATTCATTTGTGTTGGAAATGAAGTTGAAGCAGGAGGGGGAAGGGAGTAATAATTAATAATTGTTAAACAATCGATTAACAACGTGTTAACGATTAACCCACACGCGAATTGAATTGAATTGAATTGTACCTGAGTTCGGCAGCTTCGTTCCAAACGAGAAGCAAAGCCATGGCGGTCGAAAATGCAGCAAGAAATGCCAAACAGGGCGCAACTTTTCTCCACCATGTATTTTTGTAATATATCATGACGTTAGGAGTGTTACTTGATGGTGGTGATGGTGGTGGTGGTGATGTTGGTGTCGTTTGTTGATTACCAACGACACATATACAATGACCAACGGTATTAGCTCCACCGTTAATTGCATTTCCTTCTGTCCCCCCAGGTCCACCTTCCATCCCCCCAGTTGCAATAGCAGCCGTGATTGGTTTAATCATTCTGTTGAAATAAAAGTCAACGATTTCTTTTCAAAATCTTTTCTTTTTCTTTTTTTTTCTCTTATGGGGGTTGTGCGTTAGTGTTCAGATTTATTATTTACGCACTCGCTGATTAATTTATCGTAGTTACAAGAAAGATCCTTTTTTATTTTTTATTTTTTGTTTTTTTTTCCTAAACACCTGTCGTAACGATTCTCTTTCTCTCTCTCTCTCTCTCTCTCAATATTTGCGAACGAACGAAACAGTCGCGAATATACCAGCAACAACGTGAGCGAGATATTCTTTGTCCGGTTAAACAAAATTTGTTCAAAAATATATTTCGGATCGTAAATAATTTATTCTTTTCTCTTTCTTTTTTTTTTTCTTTATTTTTTTCATTTTTTCTTTTTTTTCTCTTCTTTTTTTTATGTATGTTGATATTTCTAGGAGGGCAAGAAAAAACGAATAAAAGAGAGATGTCATCGCTCGGAAAGTAAATTCGATTATTCCACGTTTTAAACGTATCAAGACCACCGATTCTGAAATTTTCTTTTTTTATGTTTTTTTTTTTTATTTTTACATCCTGCATTCACAATGTTGACGCTTTTACGAGTCTGGACAACTTTGAATAGCATTTTTCTCGTAAATAATATTTTTTGTTCTTTTTTTTTTCTCTCTTTTTCTTTAAAGTACTCCAGAAAAAAATACGTTTGAAAATTAGGCATGTTTGATATTACTTTTTATGCATTTAATTTAAAAAATAAAAGAAACAAAAAAAGAAAAAATAAAAGACAAAGTAAATTTGTAATAAATATCAAACGTTGTATAAAAGAATATTTGATAAAAATAAAATGACCCCACCCTTATTCGTTCCCTTCGGAATAAGAAAAATCAGATCAAGTAAAGGACACACCTTTCAACACTATACCATAGCTAGCGTTCAATAAAATGTCTATCGTCATAGTTAACGGAATTTATTTCATTACCACATTCTTAACATCCTACGTGATTTTTCAATCATAAAATGCAATGCATAAAATCAATTATCCATCAATAAATCCATAGAAGATGATATTTTTCTCGAAAACAATTGGAAATGCATTTCTTGTAATTAACAAATAAAAGGTTTCCCAAATAATAAATAAATAATTATTAACATTTCTTTGAGGTAACCTTTTGTTTTCATTAATAAAAATATTAACTTTTCGTGTATTTATAATTGAAACAATGTATATAAATTAATTGGTTGAATTATTTCGTTTTACTGTAACAACAAGAAAATGGAAATAGGGCTCGTGTTATTCTTTTTAATAGCATTTCTTTAATTCGTTTCTTTTAATTAATGGGAAAACAACAAGTGAAAAGTTTTTAATTAAAAACGTTCTTATTCGTCATAAGATAAAAAGAATAATTAAATAATTGTTAGGGGGATTCTGGCATTTAGGATGATTCGCATATTCGAATATATTTATTATTATTATACAGGGTGTCTCATATTTCACCCCGTTTAATTGCGAAATTATATTCTGTAAATGAAAATATGAAATGGGGAGAAAATATTATTTGATGTGTTCGTTCCCGCGAATGATTTTAATAGATATTTATAAACAAATGAAATAAATGGAAAAATAACTTCGAAAGAAAATGTAATTGATTAGAATGAGAATCTTATTGTTAAATTATTTCAGAAAAAAAAAAGAGAAAAAAAAAGAAAAAAAAAAGAGGAAACCAAAAAAAGGCAAGAAACTTTCGGAACAATCTCTACGTGTGTACATCTCTGCGTGTATTTGTAAATGTGTATGCATTTGCGTTCCTATCTTTAACAAGCAAACGTGACTCATGACCAACCAACGCAAAGTACACGCTTACAGACTTTCTAAACAAATTTTTTTTTCCTATCACATCCATGCCAGAATAAGACACCCAGTATATAAGGATCTGAACAAAGGAAATCCAAAGACCTCTATGGGATTCGTTACAATCCCGATATCTAATAACCCGATAACGTTACACACCAATCTTCGATTATTTTATTATATTACATATATGTACATTTTTCAAATCTAAAATTATGACATTTATTGCAAAAAACGATCGATCTAATTATTCTATTCTTTTTTCATTTCAAACAAGGTGATATTAAAAAAAAAAATCAGAAAGTTTATTTACGATTCTTTTTTTAGGATAAGGTTTTTTTTATATTGTTCTTCCTTTTTTATTTTTGTTACTTTAAATCCAATCAACCGAATATTATACGAATAGTTTCTTTCTCTCTGAAAAACTTTTTCTTTTTTATTTTCATTCTTTTTTTTTTTATCAAAGCATGAAAAAATTCGTGTTTTCGTTTGAACGGAAATAGAGAGAGAGAGAGAAAGAGAGAGAGTACTACTACATTTCTCTTACTCGTTCAATTCGAATGACATTTTTGTAATTTCGATTTTACATTTGCCGACAAGAATTCCCCGAACTGATGAATCGAAAAACAAAAGAGAGAGAGAGAAAGAGAGATAAAGATAAGGATAGAACGAAAAAAATATGAAATAGAATGAAATTAAATGAAAATTAAAAGTAGCAATAATAGAAGAAATAATGGAAAAGGAAAAAGAAAAAAAAAGGAACAAAAAATTAGATCCCTCGTCTTCTTCCACCGTTAAAAGCTTCCTTTGCCCTTTTTGTATCGAATTTATGGTGATGATGTTTCAAAAAGAAGGAAGGATACGACACAAAGAAAGGAAAAAAAATTAATTCGCAGAGGTCAAGTATAACAAAAAAAAAAAAAAAAAAAAAAAAAAGAAGAAAAAACGATCTTTTTCATTCAATCATTCGAATTCTACGAGAAATGTGAATTTTGAACTACATATAATGTCATTGTTTCTTTCGATCGAACGATAAAGTTCGATAAATCGATTTAAAACGATACGAGTGCCGAAATTTAAATGTTTTAAAAAAATGTACATTAATACAAACATACGAATACGATTTGATTTCGTGTAATTTTCACGTATCTTTCTGTCACGACTATCGTAAACTTTGATGTTTCTGTACACTCACTTTGATGTACAATAATAAACACATCCTACACGATACAAATACACACACACATATACACACAGAAATAAATGAGTATACTATTTATCATGAAAATCAGAAAAAGTCATGTGTCGAAGAATAAATTTGGAAAATTCGTGAGAATGAATATATTAAACACATAATACAATTATTCTCCAAACATTCAATAAGAACTTTTTCAGAAAATTTAATAGTGGTGCATAATAGTGCATAACACAACGATTTCTTATAAAAAGGTTCGTGCCGGTTTAAAAAAGGAAGAAGAAAGGAAAAAGAGAATAGAAGAAAATTATTCTACATACAACGAGAAACAACATTTAATCGAATAAATCAATTCACAAAGTTATTTTATTTTTTCCAACCAATCTAATACAAATTTAAATAAACGAACGTAATCCTAATTACACGACATTACAGGTATATAAAATAAATATTTTCGACGTTTGTGCATCGACAAAGAAAAAAATAACAAGTAAGAGCAAAAAAATAATAACAAACAAAACGAATTGTACGGATCGAAAATTTACGAATTTTTATCTATCGCGTTATCTCTATGAAATTATATACTTAAACAACGTTACGAAAAAAATAAGGACAAAAAAAATGATTATTTCGTAATATAATTTGTGTTGACCAAAAAAAAAAAAGAAAAGAAGAAGCAGAAAAAAAAAACAGAAAAAATATTATACAAATATACAATAATACTTACTTAGATTTGCGCTTCGGTCTAGTTTCTATCTGGGGGAAACAAAAGTCTGGAGGGGTGTTAGACATATAAATCGACCAAATGTTGATGGATATGCTGCTTTAATAGCAGCAACAGCAATTGCAGTAGCAACACCCACCCACACTAACAACACTTACGTGGTACACGCACCCGTGCATGCCCCCCCCGCTCACACATACATACACACATACGCACACAACGATTTAAGGTTGAAATCGCGTTAAACTTTACATATCGTATGTGACAACACTGTGCCGGCAATGTCTCGAACACATTTGACTTTCGTTCGTGCGACTGTACGAGGAGAACGTGCTCATCTCTTTCTCTCTCTCTCTTTCTCACACATACACTCTTCTCCTCCTTTTCCCCCACTCCCTTTCTCCCGATTTCCTTTCGTCCAGCCGACCCACACACGCGGTGCACTTTACTCGTCGAACCTAACAGCGTCCTCCTCCTCCTCCTCTTCCTAACATTCGTACCATGAAGAATGTGTTCAGAAATTTTTCTATTTCCCCCTCCTCTTCCTGGAGTTCTTCCTTTATATTTGTTCCTTAGAATTAGGCTTTACAAAAACATGATAATATAAAGGAAAAGGAAGAGATAGAAAGATTGAGAGAGAGTAGTGTAGTAGTGTAGTAGTTGGTTGTGGTAGTGGTGGTGATGGTGGGGTGGTGGTGGTGGTGGTGGTGGTAGTACTGCTCCGAAAGCGACTACTTCGGCGACTGTGAGTCGTCCTCGTCGACTAGAAGGGAGTGAAATGAAAGAGAGAAAGGGTATATGTGGTTATCCCCGCGCCGCACTGCAGTTCTCGATGCGTCGTCTTTCTCTTTCCTTTTTTTAAGAAAAACCAACTCTCTGATTATCTTTATCTCTCTCTCTCTTTCTCTTTCCCAATGTAAGAAAGAAAGGTTGAAGGAAACTTCAACACCGGGCATTTGTCCTCTCCAAGAAAGAGACCTTATTTCCTTTATTTTTCTTCTTCTTCTTATTCTTGAGTCATCGTACGAACAGAAAAATCTATGAGACAGAAGACGTTGACGTAAAGGTTCAATTACCACGCACACGTTTTATGTAAAAGAGAGAGAGAGAGAGAGAGAGTACTACTACTACTACGATGACGACGACGATGGTTTCTGGCTCGCGACGAACACCGACTAACACATAAGTGTGCCCTCTTCGGTGGCACTTGGAAACGGCCCCAACACCGCTTGGACAACACCAGCGACAACGACAGCAACACCAAAGGGGACTACGATGATGACGACACAACGCGACCAACAGTATAATGCCTTCTTCTTCTTCTTTCTATCTCCCTCTCTATGGGTTCTCTACGTATCGGGTGTCCTTATTTAAACGGGCCACATACTCGTACCTGCCCCCACCCCACCCCACCCCTTTTTACCTATATGCCACCTGGAAACGGCCTCGACACAACCGTCACAATAACCAACCAACCAACCAACCAACCAACCAACAGCAATAACTATTGCACAAAAAAAACGTATGGTGATTATTAGGACGACAACGACACAACGACTAGGAATACAATGCCATCCTTTCCTTTCTATGGGTTTCCTATATATATATCGGGTGTCCTTCTTTATACGGGCCACAGTAGACGACTGTCTAACTCTAGGCTGCTGTTGTTGTTCATCGTCTATCCCCTTCAACTCAATGCGATCGGCTTTCTCGCTTGGTTTTACGAGGACACTCTACCGTTCTCTCATAGCTTACCCAGGTAGAGGAAAGAGAAAGAACAGTGGTTCTCAACTCTCTACTTAACCTTCTCTTTCTTTCTTTCTTCCTTCCTTTCTTTCTATCTCTTTCTTGTAATCTTTACTCGACGAGGTTTATTCGATTTATATTTCAAGCGAATACTCGTAAGCGAATGCACACGACTTCGTTATTGATCACCCCAACCCTCACTCCTTCGCCCCCTCCCCCCAGCCAACAGTATAGACTGTTTAAAAGACAAAAATGTATTATAAAATATATCCTAAATCTTGTAATCTTGATTATAGTTAATCATCATTTTATTCTTTAATCGAATATTTGACAATTATCGATTGATATATACTCGACGTTACAAATATATTTTCTTTTATTATATAAAAAAATATAATTGATATTATAAACCCCCACGTGGGTGTAGAGTATATAGGATAATAAAATAAATGATTATTCAAAGGTGAAAAAGGAGAGCCACTTTTCCATATAATGGCAAGACACGACGGACGGTATGAAAAGGGAAACGGTTGTGCGTCGGGGGAGAGAAAATGTGCAAAGGTAGGAATGAACGAGGGGTTGTGGAGGAGGAGGGATAGGGGAAGTAGTGAATTGCGGGGACTGAAAAGAGAGAAACAGGGAAAGGGGATGGGGAGGAGGGAAATCAGAAGGAGGAAACGTGATTGGTATGCGACAAGGCGGAAATGGCATCAGCTGTGGCAACGATAGGAAATTTTGTTATACACACCCTTCTACTACCTTTCCTATCCTCAATTTTCTATCTATTTATTTATATATATATATATATCTATCTTTCTATCTGTCTTTCTATCTATCTATCTATCTATCTTTAGCTAACTCCTATAATTGCATTAGAATTTTCGTTAGTTCGGTAAAGCGGCAAGTACCTACTATCAATCCTATTTCCATTCGGATTTACCCTCCGGAAACGATTCTTATTATCGATCGATGAATTAGCGAATTAACGAGTGAACACTTTCTAGGGAAAACTTTGTTAACTTCATTGACTATTACTTTAGCACTAGCGTACACTTGCTAGTAATTTTATTTTATTTACTAATTCGTTTTATTTTCACGTAAATAGATCACGTAAACAGATTTTATTTCTTCTTCTTCTTTTTCTTTTTCCATTTTCTTGTTTGTCAACTTCATTGCACTTGCAGGATTTTTTTTATCTTCAACGCATTATTATTTAAATACAAGAAAAATCGAATTAATTAGAACACAAGCGTCGTCATTGATCGATTCATTTTATTTACTAATTCAATTTTATCATCGATTAATAATTTTATTTTTCGTTTTGTATTTTTTTTTTTCTTTTTTCCTATTTTATTTTATTCGATCAATTGCACTCGAGGATTTACTTTCCGACACATTTTTTTCCGATCCATCCAATACGAATTAAATTGACCATAAAATACTATACACGCGTGTGCGCGCGCGCGCGCGCACACGTCACCATACAATTTGACAAATTTTCTAAAACTTTAATACTGAATAATTCAAATCACGAGCTCCCCTATATATATCTTTTTTGAAAAAGCTTTTAGAATATTTCTATTTGAATGAAAATGAGTTTAAAGAAACAGAGAGGTGGGTTTGGTTTGTGAGTGAGAAAGACGAGAGAACAAGCAGCCGGTTCTTCTCCGTCATCGCGATCGTCGTTCCACTGCCATCTGCTCGATCATGTAAATATGTATAAAAGATAGATAGAGATAGATAGAAAAAAAAAAGAAAGAGAGAGAGATAGATAGACAAGTTTTGTTTCTGGCTTTAGAAAGCGTCGGGACGCCGACTACACATGGCACGCGCGCTAAAACTTGCGGAGTTTCGCGCAGACGCGATTCTCTATCCTTCATCAAAAGTGAGTAAGCAAGAGAGAAATAACAGTATGAGAGAACGAAAGAGAGAGAGAGAAAGATTTAACTTACACGATAGTAGGAGGATGACGTTCCAACAGTGAGTTACATTGAACCGTACAACGGAGAGCGGACATTCGTACACCGACCGCGAACGTGATAACATTCTTATATATTTATTCCTATTTCCATTTTTACTATTTTTTTTGTTATCTTCTTCTTCTTATTGTACTCAAAGAAACGTGTGAAAAAGAAATCAACGATATCACCGTATGCGTTAGATTTTTTTTGTGATTGGAATAACACGTGAACCGGGACCCGATTGATGGTGTTAGTTACATTTCGCAAATTTTGTTTTATATCAGTGTGTATAGGGGTAGAAAATATTATAAAGAAATTTGTACTCTTGTTTGTTTGTTGTGTGTGTGCGCGTGTATTTAATTGAATTTGACAGTAAGTTGTTTACATATTATGTATTTCGATTGATCGATTTATTCATTTACGAATAAGTAATTCATTTGATTTTTGTGGTTCCCGATTTGAAATGTGCCGCGGCAAAAATTTCCGCAGTTTTTTTCTTTTTTACAATCGATCGTTATTTCGATTAAACGCCAATAAAGTTTGTACTTTTCTATGGTCGTCGATCAAACTCGTTATTATTAATAATTGCGCGATCGAAAGTTTTCCTGGTTTTTTTTTTATTATTATTTATTATTCGATATTTTTTTTGGTTTCATTCGAGTCTCCTCTTACGAAAAAATATCTCGTGTTACATTTTATATTAATCGTTAAACATTCGAATGAAGTTTAATTTAATTACAATTGTATTATTAACGATAGATCATTTTTTGTTTTTTTTTTTCACGTTTAAATGAATCAAAAATATAATATTTAATCAAAATTTTTTCTTCACCATCCTACTAATTGTTTATTAGACTTTCTTCTAAAAACTTGAGGATTTCGTTCTTAAAAAAAGGTGGCGCGCTTTTCTTTCTTTCCTTCTTCCTTCTTATTCCTTTCATTCATTCATTCATTCTCTCTCTCTCTCTCTCTCTCTCTTTCTCTCTCTTTTTGCAACAAAAGGGAAGTAGTTTCAAAAGGAGAAGGGAAAACTGGCACGGCTGCTTTTCAACAAACTTCGCATTGAAATTTCTGACATCCTCGTTTAGACGATAACTTGAAAGGGAGAAGTCGTTGAGAAAAAAAGTAATAACTCGAATGAGAATGAGTGAGAGAGAAGAAAGAAAAAAGTGGTTGGCAGGGGAGGGAAGGGGGGAGGGGGAGAGAGAAAGAAGGGTAGGACAGAGGGTGGACGGGGTGCGGTGTGGGGCTGTGGGTGGGGTGGGAAGGTGAGGGGGAATTAATTTTGTCGAAAGGTCTCTTTCGTAAACAACAAACAAACAAAAAATATATGTGTATATATATAATCGAGAATATTAAGGTCGATTCTTTGAAACTGTCCAAAGGACTTCAAGGATCTTCCTTCTTCGGTGTCACCCTTTTTTTTCCCTTTTTTTTCCCTTTTTTTCCCTTTTTTTTCTTTTCTTAACACACATTAGGTTACTTGACTCTGTTTAATACACTTACGGGAGCATCAGTTTTCTTAGAAATAATATGGGTATTTTTTTTTCTTTTTTTTTTTTTTAATTAAGTCCGATGAGAAAAGAAGGTACGAGCTTCTTCCTAACCATTTTTTCCTTCGTCTTATTATCTTCGTGTAATCTTACGGAAGTTGACTCTCACCTACGCGCTAATTAACTCTTCTCTGCACATGACCTATCTCATAAACACACACACACATATCTTTTTATGTCTTCTTTATAAGTAATAAAGATAGGAACAAAAAATTGGTAATTCATTCAACAATTTTGTTTTACTATATTAATTAGCTTCTTTTCCTTTTATTCGTTTTTTTTTATCTTCTTTTTTAAAAAAGAAAAACCATACGCGAACTGTTCGTTAGGATCGTTATCGTTGTCTCCCTTAATCGAAGTCGAAAACGGTGAAAATAAAAATAAAATAAAAAATAGAATCGATACCGAGAAAATCGAAATAAAAAAAGTGACAGGTAAATCACAATCGAATTTTGGTCTTACGGATTGAATTTACTTACATTAACTGGATACAAATACACAAAAATATAAGCACACATAGAAGAGACACGTTGTTTCAATAAACCCCTTAGAAATCGATAGACGTTTTAATCGAAAAAAACAAAAAACCAGAAAAGAAAGCTCGACTGGTGTATGAGCCATAAAAAATACAAAATCTATATTTTGATATACGTAATTGATTATATTTTTGATGAAACAAATTTTGATTGATTTTACACATCTTTCGAAATAATAAAATAAATAAATAAATGAATAATAAATTCTTATTAAATATTTCTTGCGAAATAATAAAATAAATAAATAAATGAATAATAATAATAATAAATTGATTATACAACTACACATATATATATATAGAATGGTCTCATCAGTTATTCGATTTTCACGAGAACGTCTCTAATTTCGATGTTGATGCTCGTTAGCACAAGAACGTTCCTAATTAACATCCCAATCGGTATCTTCGAGAACTATAGGAACAGGAGGAAGAGAACAGGGTGAAAGAGGAAGTGTGGAAGGAGTTGTTAAATCCGTAGAAACTAGGGAAACCTATAGGAAAGCAAGGGATCGATGACAAGGGGAAGATCATCATCGATACATACCTCAATCCAATGTACCACGAGATCCATTGGCCGAGATCCAATGAAGAATTCACTCAGGAGAATGAGGAAGTATGAGACTTCCGAGTGGATTTCCAGTTTATACGGCCCACCACCACTCGTGTCACGTTTCGAGAGTCATTAAGGAGAACAAAATGGGTGCCAACCAATCAAATAGAACCATACCTACTCCTGGAGAAGAAGGTATAGTTCACACGTATATGTGTCGGTAATTATAACACTTGACTTTATCAATTAATTCGTCATATACACATTTATAATTATAATAACAAATGATTTATTATATTACATATGTGACCATGATTATGAAAGTGGTCTAAGTCAAAATTTAAAAAAAATAATAAGTTTATCAATTATTTCAAACCACATTATTTTAAACTAAATTATAATTCAATGTAATTTTCACGATATTGTTAAAAATGAACCGTTAGATAGTGTTTGTTATATACAATTCATTTTTAGTGTTCAAACGTAATTCTTTAAATATCTCGAAACAAGAGATATATGACTTAGACCATTTTCATAATTATGGGCACATATGTATTTGTATATCTGAAGATTTATTTCATATACAAACATTTCATGTGAAATAATGTTAATAATAATTATCGAATTTTTGCAATATAATATGCCCCAATTATATGTTTCTCATTGTCAAAAGTTTATATTAAAAAGATAATATATCAACGCGTATTGTAGAAAATTCATGAGCGAGATAATATTTGTATGTCAACGCGCAATATTGAAATATTTTTATTTCAGTATTTTAACATCCTCAAACACTTTTTAACCCAATCGAAATTTTGATTCCGACGAAACGTTATTTCTTATTAAAAAAATCCTTTTCAAGTTTTTCTTTTGAATTTCTTCATTCGTTTTTTTATTTTTCTCTTTTCCCACATCGGCCGAACTAAAGTCATCGATGTCGGAAAAATTATTCCAAGGTTTTTCTTACTTTTCTTTTCTTTTCTTTTCTTTCTTCCTTTTTTTATTTTCTATTTTCTTTTATTCGATATTACATTCCCTTCGCGGTATTGATCATTGATTTAAATATGGTTTAAAAATTTTCAATAGATCCTCATACTTCTTAAACATGAAAAGTTGTAATGCTCGTGGAAAACCGTACGAATTTCAAAGATTCAATGTTAAAATTCATGAAAAATCTTATATATGTATATATAATGATATATAATAATAATATATATACATATATATAAGCTATATATCGTTGAAGAAAATTTTCCTTATTCATCGTGATCTAATATTTACTCTTGACGAATATTTTATCTACGATACGTTTATAAACCTGTACAGTATATACTTATCTGTTACAGTGAACTTCGATCACTTTGAAATTCTACGTGCCATAGGAAAAGGAAGTTTTGGAAAGGTAAGTTGTTCAAATATTTTATCAAATCTAATTTTTAATTGACACGACGACGAAAAGAAAAAAAAACAAAACTTATATATAATATCAAATAATATAATATAAAAATTCTATAAATATTTAATCAGTTGTTTCTCTCGTCCAAAAAATAAAATTCTTAATAAGAAGGTATCATAAAGAATTTGGACATCAAAAAAAGAAGTAGAACTTAATTTTGATAAGTTTTTTTCATGTCCAAATTCCCTATGATATCTTCTTATTAAGAATTATATAAATATGTTAAAATTATATGATTATTATTATTATTATAGTATATTTTTTCATTGCCTAGTTTTGTTTTGTTATTATTGTATAAATATAATGCAAAGAATATATAGAAGAAGATTATTACCAAATAATAAATTGCATCAAATATAATTTGATGCATATACATTTGTAATACTTATGGCATAATGCGATTAGTGTTACGAATACCCAAAAAAAACATGATTCAACCTAATCGATCTATAATGTTCGATGACGATAATTCGAATTATAGCAACTTTACTTGTTTCCTTTATGATAGATGTATCGAACCATAGTTAGGATCGTATTAACGTGACCGCGAATAATTAAAATACGAATACGTGCGTTAATAATGATCGTTCCAACGACGGAAATAACAACGTAAAGGTGGGGGTGGGGGTTGCTGCTGATTGGTTGATGGATATTAGAGATTTTCGCGTATATCAAATTTCCGTTTCCGTTCGAGATTTCGAAGAACGTTAAATATCGTAATTAGATCCGTCTAAACAATATTCCCAAAAAACAAAAACATAATTCAATTTCTTTATTAATTGTAGAATTAAATGAAAATATTTATTTATTCATCGATATCATTTGCATTTAATTATGCTAATTTTATATAACTCAAATCCCCCATATTGGTAATATTATTATTATTATTATTATTATCATTATCATTATAATTTATTCGCCCGGGTAAGAATCATTAATTATTGCTAATTATTTTTCACAATAATTATTTATTATATTGTAAGAATATTAAATACGTTTATTTGCATATAATTATCAAATTAACGATGAAAATAATTGTAATTCTATCGTTAAGAAAAAAAGAACAAAAAAGAAGAAAAAAATATTTAATCTTTTATGAAATATTTAACGAGACCACCCCAACCACGCTCGCGGAGGAAATAAAAAGGTCGATGAAATCGCGTTGAGGAAAATTTTCAAATGAAAAAAAGAAAAAAAAAGAAAAACGAGAAAAAGAATAAAAAGAAACGTCGTGTTAACTAAACGCTTCAATTTTTACGCTTACTATAGACATTCGATTTGTTATTGGCTAGATGCCAAATTGTGGGTGAATGCATAACACAAAGGGGGATGAATTCTCTCTCTTCTGTTGTTCAGGTTTGCATAGTGCAAAAGAGAGACCGTATTGGCAATATGTATGCGATGAAATACGTTCACAAAGGGGAGTGCGCGGAGAGAGGGGCATTGAAAAACGTCGCAAGAGAGGTCGAAATTCTCTCAAAGTTGGAACATCCGTGCTTGGTCAATCTCTGGTTCAGTTTTCAAGGTAAATTTATTTATTTTCAATGAATAATACATATAGGAAAAAATGAATAACAAAATATAAATGTCAACGGGGGTAGGGGGTGGCGGGGGATATTTTCGTTTGAGAATATGCGAAAAATTTGTTAAACTGTAAAAAAAAATATGCGAGAGAAAATAATATGAACAAACGAGTTTGATGAATCGACGATGAAAAATTATACATTGTTAAATATTTTGTTTGTTTGTTGTTTAAATCGAAGAAAAATTTGACAAAATGAATTATTATGTTAATTGATATTCTACTTAAATGAAAATAATATAATGTGATATAATAGAATAAAAGATAAATCTGAATATAATAGAAAATACAATAATCAATTGTACTATTTATTATTCATCCTGGCACTTGGAGCAATTGACTTGAACGTGACTCTACCTTCTCGAACTTCTCGTTTAATTCACGGTAATATTATAGTTACGGTAACAGCAAAACGTTTCTCGATTTTAACTTGAATCTTGAAAGTCGAGTTATTACCAAGAGAAAGAGAGAAGTTTCTATTTTTCTATAGTTTGCTTCATTCAACAATTCTCTCTCACTTACTTAATTTCTCTTTTCTTTATTTATTTATGTTTTTTTTTTTCCCCTTTTAATTTTCTTCTTTTTAAAGCAAAACTTTGGTAGGAAGAAAGGAAAGAATTTCGTGGAAAATTCGGGAAAAAAACAAAGCGGAGAATAAGGAACAACTATTCGAGAAAATAAATCGACAGTTTATTAATAACTCTTCTATTCCAAACAATTCTCCTCTTCTCTCTCTTCTAATTTCAAACTTTACGTATACAAAAAGAAAACAAAAAATACGTCGAATTATTTTAACTAATTATTATCGCATCATTGGCATGTTAAAAATGTAGTTCCTAGTTCTTCAAAAAATGAAAAAAAAAAAAACAAATCTATATTCGATAAAACAAACAGTAGCAATCTTATAATAATCTCAAAAAAGTATACAACCTGGTGTACTCGGATTTTTACAAAGATTTAATAAAATAATAAAAAATAAAACAATAATCTTTAAGGAAAAATTAAGTTAAAAGCAATTATTGTAAAATAATATTATTGATAATTCATTAAAGTTTGTTCACAATAATACTAATCATAAATAAGAAAAGTCATTACTCAAAGAGCTAATAATAAGAAGATAAATGTGATCGTCCAAAGCACTCAGAAAATCTATCCCGTTGCTCGTTATCCTCCTTTCTAAACGTTCATCTTGATTATTTGCAACGTGAACTCATTGTTGAACACGTTCAACGTGTTATACTATGACGTAATATTGTTATTAAACGAGACTTCGAAAGCCACCGGTAATACTCTTTAACGAATATTTGCTATCGTTTTAGATAAACGTACAGATAAATACATACATATACTAGGAGTTATACAAGTATTTGTACTCTCTCTCCCACTTTGTCAATATAAAATAATCAATAATTTTCTCTTACAATACAATATTTCAAAAATTCTTTTATATACACAGAAATATATTTTAATATTTATAATAATTAACAAAAATTGTATTTTATCATATTACTTAGTTAACAAAAAAATACTCTAGTAGGAATACAATTATAATATAATTATCTAACGATACAATATTTTTCCGCATTTTAATATATATTTAAATAAATATATTTAATAATTTTAATAATTCTAAAATAGGTTGACAACATTGGTAAAATTGATTGGAAACATTGATAATTATTTTATTCTTAATAATATCTTTTTATATTGTTACAGACGAAGAAGACTTATTTATGGTATCAGATTTACTATTGGGTGGTGATCTGCGTTATCATATACAACAAAAGGTTGAATTCACCGAGGAAAGTATCGTTCTCTTTGTCGTAGAAATTGCACTCGCTCTCGACTATCTCCAAAATCACAAAATCGTTCACAGAGACATCAAACCAGATAATATCCTGTTAGACGAGGAGGGTAAGTTATTCCAATATTTTAGATACATCTGTTATCACTTTAATTTAAACTAAACACGCTTTACACTTATCAATTTGAAAATTTCATTTAAAAAGAAATAATTATTATTGAAAATTTTCAAAAAAAATTTCGATTATCCAAAATAAAGTGTTCGAACAATTTCTTTTTAGAAACAAATTGAACATAATTACTTGGGTATTTTTTTTAATGGATTAATATAAATACAAGCAAAAATTCGATGAAATATTTCATTAGATGATCATTTTTAATTCAAAGTCATGACTGGCAAGGAACGCCAAAGTAAATACTATATATTAGTTTAAACAATCTTCAATATTAATAGAGTATGCAATATACCTTAATTGATTGTTAATTAATCGAAGAAAATGTCTATTGAAATTATTTTAAATTCCAAGTATGTTAATAAATATATAATACTTAAACCAGTACATATATTTATTTAAATAAAATCTGAAATATAAATAGAGTGTATTAAAATAATAAAATAATTGTTAATTAATCGAAAAAAATGTGTATTGCAATTTAGAAGCACTGAGTATATGTATACTCCTCAAAATTCACCTTCAGACTGGCAAATTGTTTTGTATAAAATTTCTTTTATTAAATATTGTTTATATGACACTTTCCAAATAAAGAAAATTCTATTTATCAATACTTAATTAATAATAATAAACAATAATTAATAAAAGTAATTTGATAGAGGACAATGTTTCATTTCAACGATGGATTTCAAAGAGGACAGAGTACATAGATCATATACTTCATGCTTTTAAACAACAATAGACACTTTCATTGATTAATTAACAATTATTTTAATCTTCTAATGCACTTTACTTATATTACAGAAGATTATATATTACATTATATAATCACAAAGAAAAAAATAATGTATTTAATATTAGAGGTAGAATTTTTCGTATCGATTTAAAAGAGAAATTGTTTTCTATCGAATGAGAGAATGAACAACAAATAACGCTTTACGTTTTCGGTGGGGCTACGTTATGGCAAACAAGCGTACTAATCGAGTATCATGAGAACTGTAATTTGATTGTCGAACTATGCACGAAATTGGAAAATTACTTTACCGCTGACTGTAACAACTTATCGCGTTGTGAATTTCCAACCAGAATTTCTATCTATCTATCTATCTATCTATCTATCTATCTATCTCATCATCTATCAATCTATCTCACTTACTCGCTCATTCTCTTTAACGTAACTGGTCCCAGTCTGTTTACGCGAGATTCCATGTTACATTAAACCCGTCGATGTATATATATACTCGTGCACATGCATTTTATATACAGAGTGTACCAAAAGTTGTTTTATTAAAAAATAACAAAATGTTTGTTCGTAAAATATATTTAAAGTAAAACGATTGTAGTAAGTATATATTCTTTTTTTGTATTAACAACACTGCAACTGGAGTATCGTTAATATTTTATATATATTGAATTAAACACAAATCCTAAAATATTATAATTTTATGAAAACAAACCCCAAAATATTAATTATTGTTTATAATTACAATATATTTATTACTTTCTTGTTAATAGTTACTTTTGATACAGCATGTATACATACAGATTCGTAGACTCGTCTACAATTCAATTTCTATTGCTCTATAAATAACAAAGTAATAAAAAGTATATATTCTCGATTAAAAGAAAGATGCTCGAACATTTCTAATAAAAAAGTAAACGAGTTATTTCAAGACTATAACGAGGACGACGACTATGAGGCTTTTCTATAATCAAGGAGAACAAAAAATTGTTCTTGCGAATATGAAAGCAAAATATTTTCTATTCTTCTTGAGAGAGAGAGAGAGAGAGTATCTTTATTATTTTATATATAGTAACAACGGCATATACACAGCCATTTTCTTTCCTTAACCTCATCCCCCTGATTCTTACTACCTTACCTCTCTCATTACAAGAATAATGGAGATTTCCTTTGTTACATATTACGTTGTTCTCCTCTTTTAGTTTGTCATTTCATTAGTTATAAATCACAGAAGTCTCTTTGAACATTTCAAAAGCAAGATGGTAGGCAGTAGCAGAAGAACGGCAGCGCAACCATGTTTAATTTAAATTCGTTTGGAAAATTTTTAACTTTTTTTCTGCCTATATTCTAAAATTCTTTCTTCTCTTTATTCCTTCCTTCCTTTATTTTTTTCTTCTTCTTCTACTTCTTATTCGTTTTACATTTTTTAACGATCCGTCAAACGAATTAAGATTTATATATATATATATCTCTCTCTCTCTCTCTTTTAAGTTATTAAATATATACAAAATTATTAAATATAATAAATTTGAAGAGACAATTCTTACGTGTATTTGGTAATTGGCATTTCACGTAGAAAAGATTAATTGTTAATCGAAATTATAATGAATACATCAAATATATTCGTATACGTACTTTGTAATATCAATAATTAATATAATAAATGGAACAATTATTTGAAATTTATACTTATCTAACTTAGCACACACGTGTTAGATGAATTAATTCGAGGAATTATTCGTCAGCTGTACAACGAAGATTTTGACAACACCTGCAGGGTTATTTCAGAAAATTTGACTGACAGCTGTGTTGACATTAATTCGATCCCATCCGTATTTTCTTCGAATTTATTATTCATAGGATTTATAATTAAATCCTAGGAACGTGTTATATTCTGGATTATTCGTAAAATTATTTCCCCATTAGTTTTTTGTTAAAAATTCGAAATAAAAATATTTAATGAAAGAGAGAGAATGAAACATCTGTGAAATTCTTTACAACAAAGAAGAAAATAACATGCATGGATATTTGCGATCCTTCGGAGTGCAGCTGACAGATTCGATGTTTGTTCACTTCCTCGAGTTTGATGTTAGTATATACGTACACATAATAGGCCAGTTAAAAAGAGACAAACTTCCCCATTGTTTCAGATAAAGGTGGAAATTTTTTGTATAATGATAATTCGATGAAGCTGAATCGAATGGTGCTAATTTTTCCTATTAGATTATGTATTTTAGAAAATTTTTAATTACAGATTTGTTGTCTCGTATAAATTTATTTGTGTATCAAATTGTGAATACATATTTAAAAAAGAAGAATTTTATATCTACACATTAAATTAATTCAAGATATACTGAAAAGGATATTCTAAAAAAGTGGAATTTATTTTTTCTCTAGACATAATTTTAATTCATTTTTATTATGTTATAAGAAAACAGTAATGCTTCAACAGTAATCATTCAATATGAAAATATACATTAGAAAATAGTTGCAGTTGCAGTTGCAGTTAAAAAATTAAAAAAATAAATAATAAAAAAAAAATACAGTTGCATGTGCAGTTGCAGTTGCATGTGCAGGTGCAGTTACAGTTGCAGTTGCATGTGCAGTTGCAGTTGCATGTGCAGTTGCATGTGCAGTTGCTGTTGTATGTGCAGTTGCAGTTTTATGTGCAGTTGCAGTTGCATGTGCAGTGCATTTGCAGTTAAAAATATTAAAATTTTTACGAGACAACAAATTATTAATTTAAAATTTTCTAAAATATAAATTTAAATAATGACTCCCACGTTGCTTTAAATTAATAATTTAGAGGGAATTAGTAATTCTACGTGACTAATGATGATTTATTTGATGATACGAATAATTGTTATACATATAATATGAATTACGAAATTAATTTTTTTAACTTATTAATCATTATTGGTGTAAATACATTTTGAACGTTAACGATTTACGACATTTCATAAATAAAATATAAATAAAATTAGATAGGGATAATAACGTGAACGTAGATCGAAAATGCAAATAGTTTCTTTGCGTGAGGGTTAACTAGGGGAGGAAACATAGCTCGAAGGTGTTTGTTCTAGTTCGTGTGTAACATCCTAGAGACAATATGTTCCATGAAACTTCCATTAGATAGTACGTAAGTAGTTGAAATAGACTTTGACTAGGAATTAACGTGAAAGTTGAAATTTTCTCTTGTTAAGTGTTCTAGCTTCTTCTTCTTCTTCTTCTTCTTCTTCTTATAATTGTAATTATATAATGTTATATTAATATGAAAAGGAAATTTTAAATAGTTTATAGATGGATAAAAGATAGTTACGAGTGTAAACTATTTTGAGTATAAAATCAAAAGGGTCAAAGGTAATGCATGTTAAAAATACTTCGTCAAAGTTTAATATGTAATTCATTCGATTCTCTACGTTCTCTTTTTAGTCATTCGTATTTATATACTTTTATAATATTTATTTTAGAAACCACCGCATTCAAAAAAAAGAGAAAGGAAGAAAGTGGTTACCTGCAAGCAATAATTTTATATACGAAAATGGCAAATTGCGCGCGAGGTTAAGATATTTTTAAACAATGTTTAAAAAAAGAAAATATTAGCCGACATTTATTCTGCGAATAATATTTCATAAGATAAAAGAAGAACAAAACGTACGGACAAAACGTTTACCGAGTATAATAAAAATGAAAAGAAGAAGAAGAATAAGAAAAAAAAGATATTAATTCGATAAATAAAGCAACGACCAAAGAAATAATGTGAATTCAAATCAACGTTAATTCAAAGTTTTCTTGTCAACAATTGTGGTACTTTAATACGTATATTGTATTACGTGGTACTATTATGAAAGTTTACTATCAAGCTACAATCTATAACACGTGCATATATACAGATTCGATCGATAGAATCTGTATACGTTTTCAGTTATGAATTTTCACTAAATCATGTTTAGTGTAATCGAAGGAAATTATTGATCGTAATTGTGCATAAAAGATATTTAAAGGGTTAACCACGACGACGACAACGACGACGATGATATTACGCGATGATAACTATAATAATAATAATAATAATTAGAAGAAGAAGAAGGATACGTGCATATTTCATGATAGTCAAATTAAAGCGAGAACGATAATTTTGAATCAACATATTCATGGAGTTTAGGTTCGTTAATTCGTCGCTTGGTAAATGTCTCTGCTTGAATATTCCACGTATATGGTGACATTATATTTTTCAATATATTCACCTACACGTATTACTCTACCTCTTATGTGAAAATTCTCAAGCGAAAGGGGGGAAGAAAAATTCTTCGAATATTTAACGTCAAAACATATTCTAGAATCTAAACGATTTAACCGTGGTTTATTATTTAACTATAGAAAATGATGAATATAAAAACTTTTACAAAAAATAAATTCAATAGAAAATAGTTGAATAAAATTCCTGACAGAGCGATGAGTCTAATTATTTTCAATTTAATCAAAAATAAATCTCTGATAGAACAATTTGAAACAATATAACATCAAAATCCTGAACTAATAGTGAATTCTAGTAGGTCACATGAATTAGAATTGAATTAGAACTTTCTCCTGAATCTAATTCAGAATCTATATATATAAAACAATGGCGAATATAGCAGACCTCTCTAAATTAGAAATGAGTTAAATAAGACTCTTGTGATCGATTAATGAATTTAATAAAGCTCCTAACTTACAAATAAATTTATTATTATTTATATATACCCAACAGTGAGTTTTTAGTAAGTTTAATTAATTAAAAATGAGTCACAGCAATTGTTTCCTAAATTAGAGAGTTAGAATCGATATGAAATAATATGTAACAGTTATTTTAGGAAGTGTTTCAACCCCTAATTCAAAGAGAGAGAGAGAGAGAGAGACTATGAACTACATTTACATATCTCATACACAGGTAGCAGCTAGTTACCTACCCCAAACTTCCTACAGTAATTTCCCCTCTTGGCTGTTTGAATTTTGAGATTGCGTCTGCATAATTTACAATTAGACTTGTGCACTATGTCGTCGTCATTTAAGGTCTGTTTCACTTTCGCATTCCTTCATTTCCTCTCTCTCTCTCTCTCTCTTTCTTTATCTTTATTTTTATATCTATCTTTTAACGTAGCATTTCACAAGCTTTTCTATTTTTATTATCTCAAAACTTTCGATGCTGTTTTGCTTCTTTTTCTTTTTTAAATATAAAACAATCGGAGGAGGAGGTTTTCGTTCTTTAAAATAAAATGTAAACATAAAATTTGTAATAAAAGTAGAAAGAAGAAGGGGGGTATTTAAATAAAAAAATTGCATTTTAATTGAATTTTCTGCAAACGAGTATAAAAAATTCATTTCATACGTTAATTTAAATATGAATTATTTATAAAAAGAAAAGGGAGGAGGAGGAGTAGGAGGAGTGGGATTTAATATATTCGAATACAAATATTTACCATTCGGGAAATCTTTTTTTTCTTTCCTTTTCATTTTTTTTTTTTTTTCGAAGAGTATAATTTCAGTAATAAAATACAAACACATTGAATCGTATATCCTTTGAAAAATGAAACGCTTGAAGTTATTCGAAAGAAAAGTAGTTGAAAAGAGATGAAAGGATCTAAAATCTTTAGAAGGATTTGTCTACGAAGTCTCCCAAACGGATAACTTAAATCTCGATATATATTATCGAGACTTTGTAAAAGTACAATTACACTGAGAGAGAGAGAGAGAGAGCACTGTTAGAAGTAGCGTAGGATCTACTATCTTCATCCACTTTACTTCGAAAAAGGATAAAACGTTTAGAAATCGTAAGGATTTCATTTTCCGATAAAAAGATTCATTCCCTTTCATCGAATTTCTTTGTCGTCGTAGTCCTATATATGTCACTGATTTATTTGTAAAATTAAAATGTTCAAAATAAGAGCATAAATAAAAAAGGATCCAAAGAAAAAATGATTTCCTTATAATTTACAGCAATGTGTTAAGCCGATGATTACGTATTTAACTAACGGGGTCAAAGGTGTTGTACAATCTTTTTCGAGTTGTAAGTAATTAAAAGAAAGTTGAAAACCGTTTTTAATGTCCTCCAGTATTTTCAAAAGTATAACGACAGTGGAATGAGGTGAAGAAAAAAGAAAAAAAAAGAAAAGGGAAGTGAAGTGTGTCAGTGGGTGGAAGCGAAAAAAAGAGAGGAAAGTAATGTTAAAAAAGAAACAACGAAAAAGAAAGGGAAAATATTGAAAGGTTTTATAATAGGATTATTAAAATAATATCTCGTTCCTTTTTTAAAAGATTTTTAATGAAGTTTAAATAATATTATTTTTTCTTTTATTACAAACTTTATCACAGAACGAGAGAAAGTTCGATTCGAAAAGCTTCTTTTAAACTTGGTTACTTTTTCAAAAAGGTCATGCACGTGTAACGGACTTTAACATTGCCACTGAACTGGAGGATGGTCAATTGGCAACTTCGATGTCAGGCACGAAACCTTATATAGGTATGTGTGTATGAAACATAAAATAAAAAAAAAAATATATATATATAATATCAGAGATTGCAATGCTGTAAATTGTGCATCTTTGCAAATTCTTTGAAAAGTTTTGGTAAATATTTTTTATACTAAAAGTGAATAGATTTTAATGAAACTTATGTTAAATTAAAGTACACTCTTTTGTTTAAACGTAGAATACCATATCGAATTATAAATTTAGCAAGTAAAGTTCAGGAAATGTCAGAGAATGCAATGCTGTAAATTGTGCATCTTTGCAATTTCTTCGAAAAGTTTTGGTTAATATTTTTTATACTAAAAATTATACCATTTCTTTTTCTTTCAATATGAATTTACACCAGCACCCGAGATTTACATGTGCTCGTGCGAAGAATATGGTGTCCTTGGTTACGGATTCACCGTTGATTGGTGGAGTTTAGGAATTCTCGCTTGGGAAACTTTGGCCGGTGAACGTCCTTATTCCCTTCACTCGACAACATCTTATAGAGAAGCATTAAGGATTTTACAGGTACTTAAATATAATCCTCGATTTATAACGTGTAATTTCAATCGTGTCAGTCATATTTAACTTCTCATCAATTATTAACATAAATTGAAATACGAATTTGTTCGTACAATTATAATTATTTTTCTCATTATAAGTAAAGTATCGATTTATTGGAGGAATGAATTATTTTTAGTTCAATTATTTTCTTTTTGTTGTTGTTTTTATTGTTTCGTATCGTTTTAGTTTTAACAAACTTGTCGTCGTCGTGATCGTTTTAGGAAGAAAGGGAAACACCATCCAACTGGAGTACAGCAATATGCGACCTCTTAGATAGATTGTTAACACTAGCACCAGGTGCTAGGGTCTCGACTTTAAGGGAACTCAAGCAGATTGAAGTGATAAGAAGTTTGGATTTTGATAAAGTGTTGAACAAACAGATAAAGCCACCCTTTGCGCCACCAAAGGATCATCTCAATTGCGATCCTACTTTCGAACTCGAGGAAATGATCATCGAGACTAAACCGTTACACAAAAAGAAAAAACGTTTGACCAAACAAAGGTATATATCATTTATTTTTCAACTCGTTCATTTACATCACAAAAGAGTAGTTATCCGATAAAATATTTGAAGTATTATCCGATACTTCAAAGAATATCTTTGTCATTCTGATGAACAATGTGTTCAGTTCACAGTTTCTAGACATTGAAATATTGAAAATGTTTATAACATAAACATTTGTTGTTTTTAATATTTGCTCTATAATTAAAATATTTTGTCTACAAAAAAAGATGATTGACAAAATTGATTCTCTTATAACTTTTAGATCGATCAGAGCCGAATTGACAGGAGACGATGCTTTGAAATCTGCAGAGGGTAACGGTATGGATCTGAGAAGATTGGCCTTTATCCCAGAATATCGCGTATACAATCGTGAAAGGGAAATGGAGAGATTAGAGAGAGAACGAAAAGAGAAACAATGGGAAGAGGAACTGAACACTGCCATGATGGGTGCCGAACAGACGCCAAGGTATTGATGGTTTCATATTTAACCGAATTATTCGAAAAATCCAATAGTTTCTAGAAAATCCTTATTCCGGTCATATAATGTCATAATAAAAAGTTTTTACAATCTGTTCTAATAAAAAAAACACCATAAAAAATGTTTACGATCTTGACATTCGAAGAAAAGTGCACATTGCACACAAAGTGCTGAAGAAAATGATATAAGAAATAAATCTCGTTTATGTCGAAACTTTATTGAAGTTTGTATTATCCAATTAATTTCCGGATTGTGTGAATATATGTTAAAGGATTCTAAATATTTTACTTATATTAGAGATAATGCAATTTGCTAAATGAAGAATCGAAAATGAATTTATTGTTACAATAATTTAAGAACAATTTGGAATTATTTATTTGTAGGATGAGACAAGAACAGCAGCAACAAACACAGGAAGGACAGAAAAGTGTTAACAGATTGAGTGTTTCGAACGTGAAAGCTCGAATCAGTGCTTCCCCCAGACTTAGTCGAAGGGCAAGTACTACGACATCCTCCGACATTGATTACATCGATGCCAGTCCTGAACCATCCACTTCTTAAATTAAATTCGAACAGATTTTTTACCGAAACAATATTAGAATAAAAGCCAATCGAATGTCTAAAAGATATAGATCGTCATTTATAACTGTCGATCATTTTACAATTGAAAAACAGCAACAACAATAACAACAAAATCGATCCTTTTTTTTTGATCGCTACTTTTTTTTTTTTATCACTTTAAAAAAGTGATCCTGTTATAAATTTTATCCACCTTCCGTGCCAAATCATTTTTCAAACGAATTTATCAATAACCATAGTGCACGTTATCAAATTTTATAATTGTTTTGTTATTTTTCTTTGTTGTTTTTCTTTTACATCTTCTTTTTTTATATTATATATATATTTTATTTATTTATTATAAAATGCGCTATATAAGAAATAATTTAATTAATACTTAAAACCAATTAAAATGACTGATGTTTGAACAATTGATTGGAAAATTATTCAAAATGATGACTTTTGAATAGAACAAATTTTCCATGACTTTTATTGCAATATCTATAGAATTACGTTTATCGATTTGTCTCTCTCCCCCACCTTTTTCTTCTCCTCCTCCTCCTCCTCCTCCTACCTACTCTTCCCTTCAGTTACATATAAGTTACATATATGCTATATCCGGATATATACCGCAAACAGTTATTTTAATTTGTTTCGTGGAAATAGGCAGATACATATTAATTGTTAATAGTTACACAGTATTAATAACAATTATGACAACTATTGTTTTATTATGGAAACTCTGGAAGTTTATTTAACAGAATGATTGAATTTCAAACAAATAACGTTTACATTAGCCGATTACATCGTTTCTTATTGAAAAAAGTTTTTTCCTTTTTTTTTTTTTTATTTCTTATCGTTTACAGTTAAATTCTTTACGTTGTTAAAAAATTTATTGAAATGGCAAACGAAGTCGTTTTCGTTTCTGAAGAATTATGATTTCTTTTCTTTATTTTGAAAAAGTGGAAAACGTAATTGGTATAAGAAAAAAACCTAACGATGAAAATAAATTAATAGAAAGAAAGATTCGTAGCGGATATCAAATCGAAAAGAAAAATTTCACCTCACTTTCCTTCTCTCTCTCTCTCTCTCGTTTTTAATAATTTGAATCAGTGGATTGAATGCAGACCACGTTTTGTCGGAAAATCGTCGAGTAATCGATAGCAACGGCGCCTGGTCGACTAAACGAAACAGCAAAAAGAATATTTTCTTTTCTTCACAAAAGTTTCTCTTCTCTTTCATATTTCAAACTTGAATATCAAATTAAATTTCATTTTTTTTTGTTATAACTAGTATAAATTATATATCACAAAATGTTTTATTTATGCAACAATCGTTTGCTATTAATCTGTTGATTTGAATGATAACATTAATAATTATTATATTGTATTACCCTCTAAAATTATTTTATTATTCTTTTATTATTTTTTTTTTTCCTACTAAATAAAAATTTCCTTCTCCAAACGGGATCAAATTATTATTTATAAATTTATAATAATAATAAGTTATTTACAAGTAAATGAAAAAGATTATATAATGCTATACAAACAATTATCTTTTTCTTTAAATATTTATGCACTTGTAAAACTTATTTCTAGTTGGAATCACAAAATGCATACGTATATGTAAGCGCGCCTATAAATATAAAATAGATTCAAGTTTGTCTATCGTTAATAATAATAAAGTTTAAATTATTCATTACTGTATATACATACATACACATAAAATAGGAAAATTTTAAAAAAGTTATAACGATATAAAGAAACAAACAAAACAAAAAAAAATAAGGAAAAAAAAATACCATATTTTCTTTATACATAGAATTTGTATACATTGTGACAATTATATATATATATATATTATATATAGTATATATAAACATATAATATGTTAATATATTAGTATAATTAAATACTACCATGATGCATTACTACTATATATTTTAGAAATAACAAATAATTTTTACAATTATTATGTTCTATAGGAACACTGTGTTTTCTAAATAAATACGATGGAAAATCATTTATTATAGGACAATTGTGCACAGTTGCAATAACTGTTGTATTTTCTTTTATTGCATTCATAAATAATTAAATATGTACCTTTACGTTTACATAAATACTAACTGGATTATTAACTTGTTTCGTACCATGTATCGTTAAACATTTTCCAATTCTTTTTGCATTATATGAATTGCAGGTGTAATACGAAGAAACAGAACAAAGTGTAATCCTAGAAAAGGTACAAATATTTCTTCTTTTATTATATTTTGAAAGTTAGGAATGTAATCATGTTTAATTAATAACTTTACCAACCCATTAGTCTTTTTTCATAATTTTACATTTTAAATTGTAAACTATACTCGGTCACTACATCGACTGAAAAAAAAAATTATAAACAAATCTGTTATTTGGTAAATAAAATGAAATATCATTTTGAAATTAATAGAAAAGTTTAATATTAAAAAATAAATAAAACAAATAAAAAACTTATCAATAAAAAAAGTGAATTTTTTTTTTTGAGTAAGATCATATAATTTTTCATCCACTCTGTATTAATAGAATTATACATAACACTATAACTTAATAACATCAAATAGTATCAAAATTTATAAAAATCTATTAACAAGTAAAAACAAAAGATTATTATATGAAAAAACAATAAAACATTTGTTATTATATTTCAATTTACGTATTAAATAAATATAATAGTAATTAATGTCAGTTTTTTTTAGATTATATTGAGCAAATTATCATAGAAAAATTTAACAAACGTGTAATTAAAAAATGACAGTATTACTAAATTAGATACAATTTTAAATATTCGCGGGTATTGATTGTTGAATAATACGAAAATTACCGAAGATGGCCGATGTTTGGCAGTCGAATATACAAACGCGTACATCGATGTAGAGGAACCATTTCCTTTTTTACTAAAATCTATTCTCCAAATGAAATTAAATTAAATACTACAATAATCTGACATTATTTTATATACTTGTTAATTTGTAATATATTTTCTATAAAATACAAATATTTAATTTTTAATCTTGACAATCGAAAATTTTAATTAGAAATTAATAAAAGCCTATAAAATACGGGCCTGGTTTGTTCGTGCAAGTGCAAGAGAAAGACAATAGCAATTCTTCCATCATAAAAAATGGCTTTACTTGCAAGAAACATCTGTAAGGTACTTTCTCAGGTAAAAGAATGCTTCTTTTTTAAATAAAAAAATATCTTTTCGACTTCCAAACAATTTGAAATAGTATTAGACTTTCTCATATATAATCTATTTTAATTAATTCGACAATATTTAAGATTTTAAGTACAAAAATGAAAACGGGTATTACATCGACATCGTACATATATTTAATTGTTTAAATATTTTCAATATTACAAATGTTGTCTATACATTTAATCAAATTCATTAACTAATCTACCTTTTAATATTAATAATTAATTACTTAATTATTTAGTTACATTAATTTAATAGTCAATATAGATATTTTCATTTCGCAAATAAGATTATTTTTGATGCATTTGCATAATCATTCCTTTCACGTTTAATCCTCTCAAAATTAATAACAACAAATACTCTTTAATTATTATTATTATTGTAATATATTATTATTGTGATTAAATGTATTTTTATTTTATTAACAGACTGCCCAAAAAGGGTCTATTAGACCCTTACACATAGGAGCAGTCCTTCATCGAGAAGCTGTAAGTTTTATTATAAATATTCTTTTTTTCTTTTTTTTTATATGTGTGTTTCTATTTCATACGATATTAATTTTAGGCAATTGAACCAGAAGGAAAAGTAAAATGTACTTTAATACCAGGAGACGGTGTTGGGCCAGAACTGGTAGTATCCGTTCAAAATGTTTTCAAAGCAGCCGACGTCCCTGTTGAATTTGAACCTTATTTTTTATCTGAAGTTAATCCGACATTGAGTGCACCGCTTGATCAAGTCTCCAACAGTATTGCCAGGAACCGAGTTTGTTTAAAGGTATTTATATACATTTTTCAATATTTTGTTTTATCATATTTTTTAAATTGTACAATATTTGTTATTTATTCTTTTCATAGGGTATTTTAGCTACACCAGATCATTCGCATACAGGAGAACTACAAACGTTGAACATGAAATTACGTAGGAGTTTAGATTTATATTCTAATGTAGTACATGTTAAATCACTGCCAGGTGTCAAGTCTCGTCATCAAAATGTAGATTGCGTTATCATCAGAGAGCAAACCGAAGGAGAATACTCTGCCTTGGAACACGAATCTGTAAAAGGGGTCGTAGAGTGTTTGAAAATTGTAACGGCAACTAAAAGTCAAAGAATTGCCAAGTTTGCATTTGATTATGCGGTGAAGAATAATCGTAAGAAGGTCACTTGTGTTCACAAAGCAAATATAATGAAATTGGGTGATGGTCTCTTCTTGAAATCGTGTCATGAAATTGCTAAATTATATCCTAGGTGAGAACTAATATTTGATACACTTATTTACATGCTAGTTATATTGAACTATAACAGCTTTAATTGATTATATTTTGTTCATTACATTAGAGTTACATTTGAGACTATGATCGTGGATAATTGCACCATGCAAATGGTGTCTAATCCTCATCAATTTGACGTTATGGTGATGCCTAATTTGTATGGTAACATCGTTGATAATTTAGCTTCTGGATTAGTTGGTGGTGCTGGAGTAGTTCCTGGTGCTACATATAGTGCAGAGTGTGTAGTTTTTGAACCGGTAAGACTATATTTATTATCATCATTTATTTTCAATATTTATTTTATTATTTAATATGTATTTGTGTAATTTATAGGGTGCAAGACACACGTATTCGGAAGCTGTTGGTAAGAATGTTGCTAACCCAACAGCCATGCTTTTATGTGCTGTCAAATTGCTTCATCACGTTAATTTGAAACCTTATTCAGAACAAATCAAAGATGCATTAAATAGAGTCCTAAACGATGGAAAAGTTCTTACTAAGGATTTAGGCGGTCAAAGTTCGACGACCGAATTTACAACTGCGGTAATAAATTGTCTCCGTTAATAGTAGTTAATGTCAAATGATCTGAGCTTAAATTTAAGAAGAATTATGTAATATAGAACACATGTCATGAGAATCGTAAGATCTTTAAATGTTAGTAGTA